GGGACAAAAATAAATTGATTGAATCCAAATTACCTTAGTACAAAAGTGTCCACAAAAAAGTTACAACCCTTTGAAGTTACAAAATCAAAATTGTTTTTTTTTGCATTATCTCCATTTTCATACAGAAGAAACAACAAAATCTAAGGTCACAGAAAAATTGTAACGAGGATGTGTAGCCATAAATCGCCCCAAACTTTTGAGTGCGTTCAAATCAAATGAATTTTGTGGCATCATTAGTTTAACACATTATTTTTAAAACTTTTTTGCCTCCCATCATTTTTTTGAAAAACTAACTTTTGTCTTAATTGGCCATAAAATTACAATTAGATTCTACGGATACAATAATTGCAAATAGTTACATCAATAATAGTCAATAATTTGACGCTATTATTATTTATTGTGTGAATAAGATTAATATTCAAAATTTTGATATTACAATGGCCTATACATTTCAAGGTTGGATCAGATTAAATTATGATTTAAACGATCGGGAACATCGTAAATGTATGTCAAGGAAATAGTGCAGCAGCCGCAAGGCGTTATGCATTAAAATAGCCCAATCAAAATACACCCGATAGACGATTATTTCTGACCATTGATCGTCGTTTATGGGAAACGGGTACATTCCAATCGCAAGTTGCTGGCAATAGTGGTCGTCCAATAATGGATGCAATTGATGAAGACATTTTAGAAATCGCTGAAGAAGTCCCTGGAACAAGTACAAGAGTAATAGCTGCTTAACTAAATGTTCCTCACGTAAGGGTTTGGAGGCGTTTGAAGGATTATCTGCTTAAATCCTATCACTTAACAACGGTTCAAGAGTTATTGGTTGAAGATTATTGCAAAAGGATTGGATTTTGCGATTAGTTGTTAATGAAAACAATCGAAAAGTTAATTTTATTACAAATATTTTGTTTACCGACTAGGATACCTTCAGTAGAAATGGAATAACAAACCATTATAACGAGCACATTTGGGCCGACGAAAATCCTCACGCCAAAAAAAAACGACTAATCACCAAAGGACTTTCAAAGTTTATGTTTGGGTAGATAACAATCTAATAGGCCCACTATTTCTTCCCAATAATTTAAATGGTGATAATTATTTGCAATTCTTGGCAAATGATTTACAAAAGTAAAGCGTTTCCCAATAGGGACGTCCTGTTTTTGAATTGTCATAGCGGCGATTTTGAAAATGGTAAAACTGTCCCTTGTTAACGTTTGTATTTAATATACTCTAACAAATTACCATGGCAAGTTGCTTGAACAACGTCTGGAAATTATCCGAAAATTTTATGCTAATAATCGTTCTTTTGTGAATACCTATCGTGCATGACGTGAAAGTTATGGACCAAATCATCGTCCTGTTGTGCGTGTAATTCGTCGAATCGTGGAAAAGTTTAAACGTGAATTTACTCTGCACGATACGAAACCCAAGAACTGAAGCCACTTGACCATCATAAGCGTCGTTTGTTCGCTGATTGGGCTCTAGACAAACTCTCGAACATAATGGAGATTTTTTCAAAAAAATAATCTTTTCCGATGAAGCTCATTTTTGGTTAAACGGCTTTGTGAATAAGCAAAATTGTCGTTTTTGGAGTGAAAGTAATCCACATGAGATTCTTGAGAAGGCTTTGCATCCAGAAAAAGTGACTGTCTGGTGTGGTTTATGGCATGGTGGCATCATCGAACCTTATTTTTTCAAACATGGTGTAACAATAAACGGTGTAAGGTATCGAACGATGATCGAACTGATTTTTTGTGACCTCAGTTGGGTGAAATAAATTTGAATGGCATGTTTTTTCAACAGGACGGTGCCACATGTCACAGTACTGTCCAGACCATTGATTTATTGAAGGAAAAGTTCCCGGAAACATTGATTTCTCTTGATGGCAGAAATCCCATGAGAATTCAGCAACTTCGACCAGATGCTTGACCTCCAAGAAGCTCCGATTTAACACCGTTGGATTATTTTTTATGAGACTATGTGAAGTCATTGGTCTATATGAACAAACCACAATCTATTGAAGACTTGAAGACGAACATAGAGCACACCATTCGTGAGATTAATGCGGATATTTTGCATAAAGTGACCGAAAATTGGGTTCATCCGATTCGCTTCTGCAAACGTAGTCGCGGTGGACATTTGAATAATGTGTTATTCGGAATATAATTGCTGTCTATTATATTTTGCAAAAAAAGCTTTTTTTTATTTACAGCAATTTTTACCGGTTTCGTTAAAACAAAAAAACATCAGGACATTCTTATTGGGAGACCTCTTATTTGGAAGAAGTGAATATTGCAATAAGGCAAAATATGTGGTTTCTACAAGATGGCGCTCCACCGCATTACAGTAATGAAGTCCGGGAATACCTTTGCAGGCAGTATTGATTGAAAGAGATAGTGACGCACCTATTTCTTGGCCACCCAGCAAGTTTCCAGTATTTTATTGTTATATAAAATGAATTTCCATCAAGTAGCTGCCGAATCTACCACTTATATATGCTATAAATTCGTAAGTTTACCATGTAACTACCAATAATAAAATCTGACGGAATGCAGACGCTTTTACTGATTTCGTAAGAAAAATCGAGCACCAAAGAATTTTTGCAAAATGTGGTAGTCCACTGGCGCTTCAGTAGAGAATTATAATTAAATCAAGATATATTATCAGCTGCTTATTAAAATTATAGAGAAGAGAAGTCGAAAAATGTGTTTGTTATAAAGTGTGTTGAAAAAATGTGTTTTTTCCGCAAATCGCCAGGAAATTTTGATATTCCTGTCAAAATTTCTTGAAGAAAAAGTCAGGACTTCCTTACTGTAAGGAAATGTCATTTCCTCACTGTAAGGAAATGATATTTCCGTACAGTTGTTAGTGTTCTACATAAATGATAGAAAACACATTGCTTATAAGGAATTAATTTATATTTTGAAAACATCAAGTCATTGCTGAATACATTTTTAAGATCAATTTGTTATATTTACAGTAATTTGACAGTTAGTACAATTATTAAACATTGGAGGAACACTCTTAGAACTATGAGAAACATTTTGGACAACATGCAGGGTGGAAGTGTCATTTTGTTGAATATTTTGTACTGTGAAAATTTTATTTGCCACCTCAACCTTATTGTTAAGCGATTCTTCGATATATCCTTCAGCAACGTTTGATGACTTCCATCCGCCATGCCTCTTTAAACTAGTTATGTCGGCACCAGAGTCAACCAATATTGTTGCAGAAGACCGACGAAAGCAGTGACCAGTATATTCTGTCGGATTTACCAAGTTCAAATAAGTAGCAATTATTTTGGGCATTTTTCTAAATTGATGAATTCCTACCACTTGTCTACAACCCATTCCGCTTTGATCTTGGTTTGTTGGTTTTAGAATCAGGTATGCTGATTAAAAGCTTAGATTCTAAGTCTTCTATATCGTGTACAGTCATTCGGACTAACTCATCCATTCTACAGGCCCCAGAAATACCAAATATTACAGCCACCTAAAAAATAAATAAAGCTATGATCTAAATAGAAATTAAAACCTTGTAAATTACCTTAATCATTAAATTTTCTTTATCTGGAGCTTCCTGGATAAATTTTTCAATTTCTTCCTTCGTTAAAATCTTAGATTTCTTTGCCCTATAACCTTGAGCTTGCCGTTTCAATAAAGAACGAAGTTTTGAGTATGTAGATATATCTACATTGTGTTTAAGTGCAAGGGTTGACTTCAGCATTGAATAATTGGCCCATAATGTTGAAGATTTCATCTTTAAACAAAGGTCTAGGAAGTATGCCATTACAACATTTTCTGAGAAAGAACTCGTATTTTTACTCATGCGATAATCCATAAAACGTCTGTATGCATTTTCGTACTTTTCTTTTGATTTCTTTGGCAAAAATTCTAATGAAGCAGTATTCACTGCCTCAACCAGCTCTGGAGGAGTCCCAGGAATGGAAATTTCATCATCACTTATCATTTTACTTTCGAGAACACCAGCAATTAAATTTATAAGCGTCAAGTTTGACAATTCAACCTCAATACGTTTCGATAGTAACCCAAGTAATTTTATTAGGAATTTCAAAGCACCATTTATTTGAGAATAAAATTATCGCGTTTTTTTTAAATCAATCAATATCTGTCGAATTTTAAACGATTTGCGGAAAAGAGTCTTTAAACGACTCTGTGTTGCTAAGTCTCGGCTTGCGCCTCGACTTAGCAATCTTCACAGTCGTCCAGGAATGTTAAGCTTTTCCTACCCGGTAAACAATGTACTATTAATACAATTGATCTTGTCAATAATAGTACATTGTTTACCGGGTAGGAAAAGCTTAACATTCCTGGACGACTGTGAAGATTGCTAAGTCGAGGCGCAAGCCGAGACTTAGCAACACAGAGTCCAGGAATGTTGCTTTTCCTACGAGGTAAACATACTATTTTTCCGCAAATCGTTTAAAATTCGACAGATATTGATTGATTTAAAAAAAAACGCGATAATTTTATTCCCAAATAAATGGTGCTTTGAAATTCCTAATAAAATTACTTGGGTTACTATGGAAACGTATTGAGGTTGAATTGTCAAACTATGTAGAACACTAACAACTGTACGGAAATATCATTTCCTTACAGTAAGGAAATGACATTTCCTTACAGTAAGGAAGTCCTGACTTTTTCTTCAAGAAATTTTGACAGGAATGTCAAAATTTCCTGGCGATTTGCGGAAAATCAACTTTTGGTTTATATCTGAATCGGATGTTTCTCGATTCGTTACCTATAGTCAGAACTTTCCCTATCCTATAGGTCAAGAACTGTACAAAACATTATCGGAGATGGTTTTTATTAATCAAAGAGTTGACTCCTTTAATTATAAAAGTTAATAATCCTATTTTAAACGTAATTTCGAGATTAAATGGGCTTTATAAAAAGTTGTATCGATTATTTAGGAATGCATCAAAACTTCGACCGATAAAAATATCGATAAAACCACTTCATCGAGTTCCTCACCTGTTATAACTATTATCGTTAAGTACCACCGGATCCACGTGATACGCCTCGTCTTCGACATACTTTTCCTGCACCTGTTGTCCTTTGTCGGTATCCGGATCGTATCGTACCACCTTCATTTCGACACTAGAAGGCTCTGAGACCAACGGACTCGCCACAACTTTTTGTACCAATTCAGAAGCGGCTGGTTCTGGTTCCTGCGCGTCGAACTCTGCTCGTTTCTCGATTGCGGTACCGTCTTTCCTTACCACCGAGGGTACTGGGTCACTGCCTGTAACATTTAAGGTGAAGGTCGGGTAAGAATACGGGTTAATGTTTTTCGAACTAATGTGGACTTGAAGTCAAGTCATCAAAAAATACGTCCATTATTTGTAACTTGTTCAAACAACCAATGAAAATGTTGTTACCCTCTTTTTTGAAATTCAAACTTATCAACGGTTTAGAATTATTAATAATGACAAATTAAGGAATAATGGTAATTTGAAATTACTATTATCAATAAATTAATTGAAAAACAAAGATAAGTAAAATAATTTTACCTGATTCTAATTGTGCAGCACCTCCGGCGCCGTAGAAATTTGCTAGCTGATCTGGTGGCAAAGCAGAAATGGGTATATCTCCCACCTTATCATAATCTAGTACAGAAATATCGGCATGATTTAATATACCAGACGATAACAATTGTTGTCTTAAGTCTTCAGGAACTTCATCTGGAAGTTGCGCTTCCAATATCTTTGGATCCTTGGTTGTTGTGGGAGCTGCAGTAGTAGTGGTGGTCGTCGTTGAAGTTGTCGTTACATATATTTCCTTTGAGACACTGTTGGTTAGAGTGGGTTTCTGGTATTCCCGATTAAAAGTAGACTGTTGAGAACTTCTGGCATCATCTAACAAAATCAATTTTTATTTAAAATATTCATTTCAAATTCTATAACTATATATTTGTTTCTATTTGATTGATATGCATCTGAGGACATTGTATTAAACGTTAAAATTCTTCGGAATATAGATGAATGAAGATTAATTAGTGTACAAAGTAAAAGTTAATTAAGTATGTTAAAATAAAAAAATATTACATACCAATCGCTGACTGTTTAATATCAGGATTTTGTTGATAGAACTGTCTGAGCTGTTCTTGCTGATACCGTTGTCGTTCGATTTCTTCATAAAGTTTTTTCTGGCTCTCAGCAGCATTCTGTTGAAGTCCAACATCAGCTGAGTTTGGTTTTGAAAAGTAATGTTGAAGTGAATTTTGTCTTTCCCTTTCAATCTGAATATCTTGCAATAATTTCTTTTGTTGTTCCACATTACTCTGTTGCCGTTTCAAAAGGTCTTCGTTTTGCTGTCTTAGAAGGTTTTGTTGACGTGCTAATGTATCCTGATTATTGAATTGTGGTACTGAGTTCTGCTGATGATGAACAAACTGGTTATTATACTGTGATGAAGTTTGCTGTCGAGTTAAAATTTCTTTACTGGCTTCATGGCTTCTCGTTTGTTGTCGATTTAATAGCTCTTGACTATTTTGTTCCTGAGATAAGCTGTTTTGATTAAATTGTTGTATGATCTTCTGTTGATACTGCTGAGGTGACAAACCTTGTACAGAAGTCGGTTCAACAGAAGTAATGTGTGATTCATATTTAGAGACTGAAGGAATAAGTTGACCCCCAGGAGGTAAAATATTTTGAGCGGATTGAATATTTTTCAAATGTTCGTTTTGTGAAAGCGGCTGTTGAGATAGAAAACCTTGCTGTTGGTGTTGCTGCGGTAGTAGTTGTGATGGGAAATTTTGCTGTTGAGGATTAGTATGCTGTTGAGGATTAGTGTGCTGTTGGTGCTGTTGAGGATTTATTTGCTGCGGTGGTTGGCGGAATTGCTGTGCAATATTAAGTTGTGGTTGTTGAAAATGTGATGATGGTGGTGCAGGTTGAATACTCTGGTGCTGGAAGGGTTGTTGTGGTGGTTGTGGTATAGTTATTTGTGGTCTATTAAAATTATGCTGAAAATCTGGTTGCTGAAATTTAGGTGAAAATTGTGGTTGTGGCTGAGGTGGTCTGAAACTAGGTTGAACTTGATTTGGTAATTTTTGATACTGCTGAGGGATTGGCTGTCGAGCTTGTACTTCACCGCTATTTAATTGATATCTTGGAGAATTGAAATTTCGATTATCTTCTTGTAATGGAAGCTGCTGTTGCGGTGGGAAGTGTGTCTCTGGTCTAAATTGTATCGGAGGGCGTTGTACTGGAGTTTGAGAAAACGACTGCTGTGGTCTTAAATTATCAAATGGTTTGTACGGTACTGGCTGCCTAATCTGAGGTAAACTGGGTTTAGAAGCACTTTGGAATCGAGGAGGAGGTGGATGGGAAACACTATGGCCAAATTGTGGTTGTGAAGCTGGTGAAAAGCTGCTGAATGGTGCTGAAGGTGAACTTTGGAAGGGATAATTTTGAGGTGGTGTTATTGGGGAGGGTGCAGTTTGTCGTCCAAATGGTTTGTAATTTGATGAAGTTGGAGGAATGGTTCTATATGGTTGTGGTTGTCTAACATTGGAACTAAAACCGGGTGGTAATGACTGGAAGTTAGTAGGTGATGGACTTTTGAAGTAAGTGTTAGAAAATGATGTTAATTGTCTTCCTTGAGGAGCTGGTGATTTTATTGGAGCATAGTCTTCAATTTTGCTTGATCTTTTATCATAATCGAATCCTTCCTTTCCAAAAGTTACTTTAACTCCACTAGGACTGTGATAATATTCAGAATCTGGTTTAATGATAGTCCTGAGAGTAGTACTGGGCGGAGGAGGTGCTGTTACTGGTTCTGGATAGTAAGATGCTGGTTCTTCAATGGGCTCTTCATCAGGAATATGTGGAGAAATAGCTGGAACCGGTTTATCATAGATAATGCTGTCCTTACCACTGCTATGCGGGTTCTTTTTGTATTTCACATAAAATACCTGAACCTGTTCCTTCTTTTTCTTTGGTGGAGGAGGTGGAGGTGGTGGTGCTGGTAAAGAAACGTTTGATTCCTTGATGATAATTTCGATGATGGGCTCAGGCTCTTTTATGTACACTGGTCTCTCGATGATATGCGGTTTCTGATATCCATATCGATCGATGTTATCTTGAATTTGATTGTTTTCTGTTAGTAGGTCTTCACTCTGTGGATCTAAGGACAAAATGTTAGTATCATATAAAGGATCTCTTTGTGAGTAATGGACAAGAGGTTCCATTTGAACAGCATAAGGAGGAGCAGGATAAGATGGTCTACCTTTGTGATACGGTCGGGGATAGTACTGTGGATTTTGGTACTGGCCTCCCGAGGAGATTCGTCTTTCAAGGCGATACGATGGCAGGGCTGAATAATGATGGGACACCTGGTACTCTAAATTCCTTTTCCCTCGCTCTTCCACTTTTTTCTTCGGTCGATGTTCATCTATGGCTAACGTGGCTACGGCCAGGCAGCAGAGAATTCCCTAAAAAAGAATAAACCTATCGTTAGTTTAAAGTATTTCAAAAGACTAAAGAAATTAACACAATTTATTTAAACAAATTTAAACACGTTATAATTTATTAAAAATGATATAAACGGCATGAACTATAGTATAACATGAATTTTGTTTAGAGCGTTTTTTTCAAAAGATGAGGACTAAAAAATTAGTTTATATCACTATATGGCTATTAAAAAATCCTAATTTAAAAAGAACATGGAATCACATATTTATACGGCTCATAAAAAGCTTGTTTTCTAGAAAAAAATCAATTTAAGAGAGATCCCTAAAGGAAGCCATTATTCTCAATACTAAAACACTTCTGCAAATTCTGTTAAATGTTCTGTGGAAAGCAAGGTAATTCTGCTCTTGGACAACCACGAATCCCACATATCTGTAGAAGCCATTAAATTGTGTCGAGAAAAGGGGATCGTTTTACTATCTTTTCCACCTCATACAACACATAGAACTCAGCCACTAGATGTTGCCGTATTTGGACCGTTTAAGTCCTATTTAGCTACAGCTCAGCATGACTGGCTACTTTCAAATCCTGGAAAAATCCTTACAATTCGACATGTGGCGCGTTTGGCTAAGAAGGCATATTGTAACGTAAGTACAAATGGTGCAAATCTAATACACGCCACACACGTTGGGCGACATTTGTGTAACGCCGATTTATGATAACATCGAGTACATACATTTAATTCAAGGTCAGTTTAGCTCATGTCGGAGAGAAAGGTGTGTTAAGGTCAACTGCACAAAAAAACTACGTAGTATGTCAAAATTTCAAACACAATTAGATAACTGAAATTATGATTTATCATTGGACGCCACCCTTTGTTTATCCTCGTAGGGGACGAGAAAAAAAATAAGATATATAAAGAATTTACAGCGAAATTACACTTTATTTCTCAGTAATAAAAAGAAACATTAAAAGTTGTTATTTCCAAAGCATACTAAAATACCATTTCATAATTACATTACTATAAACAAAGCAACTTTCCATCTTTTTAAATCAAGCATTGGTTGATAAAAACAAATGAATTTATATATTATTCCCAAATTTCGAAATTCGTTTACATTTAAAATATTATAGTAGTTATTTATTAACTAGGCAACATAGAAAAGTTAAATCTATTTATTATCTAGGCATAATAGAAAGGTTAAGTCTTTAAACAAAATTTAAAATATTTCACTATATTCTTGTCTCTGTGAATCCATAAATAATTCTCGCGTTCCTGATAGGGCTTAATAAAAAAAAGGTACAACCTTATTTATCCAATCTCTGGGAACCAGGAAAAAAGGGACATACTCTGCTTCTTCTTATCCGTTGGTTATTTCATCAAATATTTACTAATAAGAATCCATTTATATAATAGGTAATTATTGGAAACCATATATAGGGAAGTATTGGACCATAGGAAACTGTCTCAGTTAACTTAACATAATCAATGGACTTTAATCTCCCAAAAAAGAGTCTGAAAATAATTATTCATCTGAAATATAGACAAGAAAAAGCTTTTCTTTGTAGCTTACCTCTAATCTAGAGACTCACTTCGAAAACGCGTCCTATCTGGTGGACGTTTGTAACAGGAAAGGAAGCGATGCTATTTTAACGGGTTTGAATTGGGGGCGTGATTGACAACTTAATATCGTTCTCATCTATCGGATATGTTGGGAATTACCGTAGAAACCTTGAGTCGAATACAAGCGCCTGGCAGATAGGTAGGGTTAGTAGTTTTATTTAAAAAAAAAAAAATCAAATTTATAATGAATTTTCTAAAACTTTTGAAACGGTAACAATATGAATGTGCATTTACAATTAACAATATAACCAGCTCGTTTAAAAATACTGGTCTGTGGCCAATAAATCGACTTGTATTCAGTGATACAGATTTTATGCCAAGCGAGGTAACCGATAAACCATTAATGGAAAACAAAGATGTTAGTTCTATTGATACCATAGAAAGTGAATTAAACACCGAAACAATTCTGCAAATTCCTTCGACATCAAGCTGTGTAGTAAAAAAAATTATTAATAAAACACCTTAAGGCTCACCTCAAATTCTTCCCACATCGACTAACACACTGAGTCAAATTAAACCATATCCAAAGAAACAACTTAAAGAAAAGAAGAAACAAATAAATAAGAGAAAAGCACACTCAACAATATATACAGACAAGCCGGAATACGAAAAAACACAAAGTTTAGATGCAGTGAGAAAAAGAAAACTAAGTTTAAAACTGAGTAAAGCATCAGTAAAAAAAGATTTGATAACAGTTGGTAGGAAAAGAAATATTTCTATGTCAAGCGAGTCTAGCACTGACGTATTTTTTGTAGATTGTTCGTCAGACGACGGCGAAGAAGATTTCGAAGATTTTAAAGCCATCCCCGACAATGAAAATATTGGCGTCGGTATTTTGTTCTTGTAAAATTTGTTTCCAAGATGGACATTTTTTATGTAGGTCGAATAACTTCTTTCCCAGATGAGGATTACGAGGTCAAATTTCTACACCGCAAAAATATTACAAAAAGCTTCTTGTTTCCCATTGTCCAAGACATTACAGTCTCTATCTATCTATACAGCCCTTAAAATCCATCCTTGGATATAGGCCTCCTCCTCCTTCTTCCATGCCTCTCTATCTTGGGCAATTTGCATCCATTTTGACCCGGCGTGTTTCTTCAGGTCATCTGACCATCGCATTTGTGGCCTTCCCCTTTTACGTTTGTGATTCCATGGTCTCCAATGTATAATTGTTTTAGTCCATCTTTCATCTTTCTGCCTTAGGGTGTGTCCGGCGAACTTCCATTTAAGCTTTGCTACTTGGGTTGAGACATCTTTCACTTTTGTTTTATTACGGATCCATTCGTTTCTTTTTTTGTCTGATAGTTTAATGTTCAGCATTTGTCTTTCCATGGATCTTTCTGTCTTTGCTATTTTTTCCATATTTTCCTTTGTAAACGTCCATGTCTGAGAGCCATATGTGAGGACAGGGAGTATACATTGATTGAAGACTCTGGTTTTTAAGTATTGGGGGTATTTTGAATTCTTTAGAATATAAGACAGTTTTCCGAATGATGCCCAGGCCAATCTTATTCTTCTCTTTATTTCTTCGGTCTGATTTTCTTTATTTAATTTAGTGATTTGGCCTAGATATATATACTCTTTTACTTGTTCTATTTTTGTTTGTGCCACTGTAATCATAAGTTCTTCTGGTTGATTAGTCATGGTTTTTGTTTTACTATAATTCATTTTGAGTCCAATTTTTGTCGATTCTCTATCTAGTTCTTCCATCATTCTTTGTAATTCTTCACTTTTTTCTGTTATTAATACAATATCATCAGCATATCGTAAATGATTCAGATTTTGCCCGTTTATATTAATTCCCAAGTCATCCCAGTGTAGTCGTTTAAAAACATCTTCTAGCGCTTGGTTAAATAACTTGGGCGATATGGTATCTCCTTGTCTTACTCCTCGGTTTATTTTAATAGGCTCCGTTTGTTTCATTAGCTTAATAGTTGTTGTTGCCTTGTTGTATATATTTGTAATTAAGTCGGTATATCGGTAGTCTATTCTGCTGTTTTGTAGGGAATTCTGTACTGCCCAGTGTTCCACACTATCAAATGCCTTCTCAAAGTCAATAAATGCCATGTATAGCGGGATATGATATTCGTTAGTTTTTTCGATTAAAATCTTCATCGTTAAAAGGTGGTCACTTGTACTGAAGCTCTTTCTAAATCCGGCTTGTTCTCTTGCCTGGTATCCATCTAATTTACAGACATTTACAATTTACAGACATTACAGTAGTAGCAAAAAAGATATTGCAGCTATTTTGTCTTTTTCTTCCACTCATGGAACTGCAAGAACATCAAGTGTTAACAAATTTAATGTTAACTTTTCTGGGTTAAACGTAAGATAAAATCCATGTTTACTTTTACTGTATTTTGATATATAGCCGAATGTGCCCCTTCATATGACCGAAACCCTTATTTGGGGTAGTTCCGGCCACTTGTAAAAAATTAAAAAATACAAAAATGTGAGCCAAGTTTATGTCTAGATTTTTTTCTCTTTTAAAACAAGTTCCTAATAAGTTACAGTTTTATCAAAAAATATTGTTTTCTGAATTATGTAACCAGTTTTTTCAAATTTGGCTTCTCAAGGGCAATATGCCGAATGTGGACCACTTTCCACTAGGTATTTTCGGTGTTAACTTGTTTATTAAAACGTACCAAAAAGCAAACTCTAACTTTAAATATTCATTAGTTTAGAATTAAAAAGAAAACTAAATAAAAGCTTAGCATATATCGTTAAAACAATCATTTCCGGCTGCAGACAGTATTCAGTAAAAGTGAATATATGTGAAAGAGAAAGAACTTTGTGTTAGCAAGAAGTGTGAAATTGGGTACAGTTAAACAGAAATAACCTCTCAAGGCCGATTCCGTTAACCGTGACATTAATTAGTGTGATCTTCAGTGCTACTTTAGAAGTTCAAGATTTTTAATTTATTTGTTTATCTTACAATCAATAAACATATGTATATTGGTAAAATTACTTGAATTATTAAATTAATAATTTTGTTATAAATATTACATTGACTTGAAAATAATTTTTTATACATCATGTCTCTTGTTTTTAAAGTACTGCCTAAACGACAGTCGGCCTCTAAAAGGAACTACAAGTTACTTCCCTTGGCGCTACCACTCTTTGCAAGTTTAAGCACCAGAGGAGACCGGTGAATTTTATATATAGCGGATATATAGCGGTGGATTCTTTAAAGTCGGAGATGATGGGAATATAAACGAAGAAGAGGAAAACCCCAAATAAGATGGACAGATGATATCAAGAAGCACGTAGGCTCTAGATGGATGACTGTAGCGACAGACAGAGAAGAATGGAAAAATATTGGCGAGGCCTTTGTCAAAAGATGGACCGAAGAAGGCTAATTAGATAGATTATTATTGTAAAGTTATGTATATACACGAA